TACGTGCTCATGTTTATTCAACCAAGCCTTTTGGAAAATCCGTCAGTTTTGATATTGTGGTGAGCGCCACAAATAAATAAATGTATGGGAAACACATCCCACAGCACAACCACCTGAGCCCAACTTCAGTCTACTCATCACCTTAACTTTAACTGCGTTTGTAGCCGGCGCCATAGCCAGACTGATAAACAAACACACCGGAATTTAACTTCGGGCCAGGCGCGTGCGCCCATTGAAACTGTCTATATAAAGCTTGAAGCATCAGAATCGGTATCGGCCGATCACCATGACAAGAAATCGGTACTCAGTATCGGCTGCAAAAATCCTGATCGGAGCATCCCTGAGTGACAGTTCAAGTTTCTACTAAAACTACATCTACACACAATTATTACTTAACCACCTAAGGGAGAAGCACTGATAACACGGGTAAAACACGCAAAATGTATTACATTTTTTACAATTGGATGTAGGACAAGATAGAAGACACCAGACCTGAACCCGTTCCTCAGCCTGAGGGCCAATCAGAACGCGCCTTCTTGAGCGCTGGACGCGCTCCTGCGCCAGAGAGCCAATCAGATCGCGCCTCATTGAGAACTGCAATACACGCGCAGGTCATGTGCAGAATAGGACGCTTTAAATAAAGAACATCGCGTCCCCTGACCGGCTCAATAACATTCTGACATATTTCACGTATTTACAGGAGTCTGGTGCATTAAAATGTTAAAAAGCCTCCTGGAACATTTATAACGCGTCCTGCGATTTTGTCCTTCACTGCCCTCCATCAACGCAACAAGGCCAGAAACTCATTCGAGCCGCACTAAACGACTATTTAACGCAAACTACGCAAATCTATAACTGTGATCAATGCAGGAACTGAAAGAACTACGTTACAGCATTTAAAGGGAACGTCCTAATCATCTAACCTACAGCTCAAGAGGATCTAACGTTGGTTAGCATAGTGCTAATGCTATCTAGTATTCTAACCTTTTATTCAACGTTCATATCGTGTAATTTCCCATCCTGAGCGCTGGAACATCCCTTTCAAGCATTAATACAACAATAAACGGAAAAAATGCGATGGTTAAGGGTGTCTTTCTTAATTTTACCCCCATAAAACTGCACGTAAAGCATGAAAATGAGGTGTTTTTTGCTCTCCAGGTGTCTTACCGGCGGTTGCGGTTTAGCCCATCTAGGGGTATTTTTTTATTTTAATTAATTATTTTTTGCTTTATTTTATTTATTGGAAATGTATAGGGTTTATCCTAAGGGTATAAATATATGTTTAATGTGGGCATGTCCTGTGTAATAATCTTTTAGTTGTTAGTTTGTTGGGGTGTAATATGTTATTATATATGTCAAGGTGTTAAAATTTTTGTTTGTTAGTTTGTTGGGGTGTTGTATTGATTGATTAGGATTTATTTTTAATTTATTTTATTATTTTGTTTTGATTTATTTATCCAGAGGGTATAAAATATGTCTAAAAAGGGAAATATGACCTCTGTAATAATATTTTTTGTTGTTAGTTTGTTGAGATGTTTGTATTTCTTTATTTAATTTTATATTTTTATTAACCCAGTTACTTTTGTTTTCAAAGTTATTTTTTTATATTTGCTAATGACATGAATTTATTTATAAAATGCGAGAAATTTTGCTTACATATTTCCATTTTTCTAAGAATATGTTTATCATGTATATTATTATTATTATTATATTTATTATATATTTCTAAAATGTAAATAACACGTCAAATACAGTAGTCTTGCCAACACATCCAAATGTTCATGCTATATAATTTTCGATAAGAAAAGTTTAGATAAGAAAACGTCTTTAAAAATTAAAAGTGTTTTATATAATTATTGATTTTAATAAAGCAACACATACATAAAATGAAATGGTCTGCTTCTAAACCAAATAAATTATTTTAAACAAAAATGCAGGGTGAGCCTATAATACTTGTAATATGATACTAATATATAATTTTTTACTAATTTTCTTTTCAATTATACTTACTAATATCACTTTTTTAGTTAAAATTTATATGATAAAAGACCAAAAATTACAGATCAGTTAAGACGTTGCGTCTGGGTAACGTCGTATTACGTAATTAATATTAATGAGCCAAGCCTTCGCCATAGTAGAACTCGCTCGACCAGTCAGGACAAAAATGAGGGGCGGGGCCGCGGGCAGTGGGCGGGGCTTTCCGAAGTGCATTACGCAAGAGATTCCATGCAACTCAAAGTCACCGTCTGCTGTGTTTGTAGTGTGATTGCAGCATATTTATGCGCGTTGATATTGTACAGCAGCTACTTATTGCTAAATACATTGTGTATAGGCTATATGCATATCTGAACAGGACTGATTATATTGTTTGCATGTTCTAATGTGCAACGGTGTGTCTGAAGGTTAAACTCTCAGAGTAAAAATTACAGCAAACATTCCTGGTACAATAAATTGCTGGAATGTGTGTGTGTGTGTGTGTCAGCCACTGAACTGACCTTGCTGTAAATAAACTTCAAGCAAGGGTCACCTCTTGGATTTCAATGGTCTTCTTTTATTTCACACAAGAATTGTATTGAATCAAGGATAAATAATTCATTCTGTACAACCAGTTTTCCACAATTAGCTGCCTAAATACAAAGTGCAAATTGGACTTTTGTACCATTTACTGCCTTTGACACAGCAGGACAAAGCTAAGATGTTAGTTAGTGGTTGGTATATCTACATTTTATGTAACCCACTGCGTTTAAAAAATGTTTTTAATTTTATAGAAGACATTAGAAAAATATTGCAGTTGATAAGTAATTAAACAAGAGTAGCAAAATATAAAAAAGTAACCCCTGCAAATGAATCTGTCTGTCACAAATGTATTTCTCTGAATGAAATGAAGATATAATGAGTAAATATATCCAGACCAGTTTTGTTTTTAAAACAATCACAGCACAGAAATGAATTCATAGTTTAGTCAGATGAATGCCAGTGTTTGAGCAATAACAGACGGTCTGATTACAGTCAATAACAGGCCAGTGTCGGTGGACTCAATTCTAATTATGTGTTTTAAAATCAGCTATAATGCCACATCACATTATGAAAACATCACAAACACATTTAACAAGCCACCATTATCTATTAAACAAAAAACAGACTGCCTCTCACCAGAAGTGGAGCATTACTTACTACACGAGACTTTCAAAGATCACATTTTCTTTCAAGCTCTGGATAAAAAATAAAATAAATATCAATATGTCTAGTACTAAAACCAAACATTATCTGAGCTGCTAGTTCAGTAGTTTGAACATTTCACTGCTACTAATCATTACAAACAAATGCAACTGGGTGAATCTCACAAAAACCGTCAAGAATATGTCATATTTCACCACAAAATATTTTCAGTTAAACACATTCCACCAAATTCTCATTACTGTAATTCAAAAAATAATGTTAGATTATTTAAATGTAAATTAAGTGTACACTGTGGCTGAATCGAATTGTTTTTATGCCAATTTTAAGTAATTAAAAAAAATTTGCACAGACATTTTTTTTTTTTTTTAGATCAGATTGCTATAATTTTTTGCGTAACAGTAATTTTTCCCCATTACAGTAATGCAAATGTCCTTTTTTTTTACACTAAGGTAATAACAATTAGGGTTTTTTTTGCATTACGGTAAAACAACTTTATTTGCATTATGGTAATTACAATGCATTTTTTCATTATGGTAATTAAAATTAAAAAATAAATAAATAAATAAAAAAAGTGCATTATACCAACACAATGCAAAAAGTCTTAAAACATAATATACAATTTTTTTTTTCCTCTGGATTTTATAGTGAAACATGATCCACGTATTTTTTTTTTGAGATTCACCCTATTATGCTACAACAATTTTCACACTCTGGTCTCATTAGCAACACTTCATTAAGTCAGATTCAGAAGTGCTAAAAAAAAAAAAAACTCACCATGATTATTCTGGAAAACATTTCAGATATCAAATAAACCATTTGCCCAAACATTCATCTTCAGGCTTTTCCTTCCAGCCCCAATGTGTGTGAAACCAAATAGTGCTTGTGTTGGCCATATCTTGGCACTTCACCTCTCGTTGTGATGCCACTGAGCGGCGAATGATTCACTATTAGCGAATACTACACTTCTCCACATCGCCTCGAACGCTACGAAACCGTAAAATCACAATGCAAGATCAAAACACACAATGCACACAGAGTTTAAAGACTACTTGAAACACGAGTCTATTCAGATGTGACCGCTCGGGTCAAACTGCAGAATCCCAGAATCCCTCCCTCCCCGAACCCTGCCGACGCGTCGCTCCGTAAAGCACTAGAAAATCAGTCTGACAGTAGATGCATGCTGAAGCTGGTTGACGGACCGGGCCGCTCATTTGCCGTCGTCGCCCTCGGCTGGGCTTTCCCAGCTAATGTAATTGACGATGGGCGTGATGACATTGTCCTGGACATAGAGCTGGCAGGCACTGATCTGATCAGCGGTGACGCTCTGGAAGGCGTAATACAGAGACGCAGCCAGTGTGATGAACACCAGAAGCTTCAACCAGAAAGCAAACCAGCGGCGGGGTTTGGGACGGGCGGCCGACGCTCCGCTGCGAACATCTGTGACGGAGGATTTGGTCACTGTGTAAGTGTTCTGCTGCAGGAGGGGCTCCTCGGACCAGAGGTTCATCGGCTTCACGGGACGGCCCGCAGCACCATGGATCGGCCTCCGACATGTGGCACTGTTCAGATATACAGCGTTAGTATGAAGTTTAATCAAAGAAGTGATAAGACAGGCTGGCAGAATGAAGATTTTTGAAATTATATGGTTTTATTGCACTTATCAAAACAAGAAAAGCAGTCAAATGTTTCGTATTTTTTCTCAATTGTTTTAATGACAAAAAGAATAATTGAAAATGTATAATTTAACTTACAATCTGCAAAGGAGTGGGAAAAATTATTTAAATATTCCATTTAACCTCCTGATACCCGGCAATTTTTTTTAGGATTTTTCTTTTTCTTTTTTCATGTCATTACATTGTTTAGAGCATTAAAAAAAATGTAAAAAAATAAATAAAAAATGATTATTTCATTCATAAGTTATGCTTCGTCCTTGGTAGAGGACATCTGGACTCAATTAAAAAAAAATTTAATAAAAAGACATGAATGAACATGCATAGGCAAAAACAATTGATTGATTGTTTTCAGGATTTATTTATTTTTTTTACTAAACTTTGTATAAAGATGATTCTCAACTATGTTATAAGAATGATTTGATATACCATTTTTCTTTATGCAAAATGTGTGTAAAATGGCCATAAACAGGTTTTCTCATTATATACAATGTATCTATAAACTAAATCTAATTTGCATATTAATGTGTTTTTGGGGATGTTGGGATTAATGTGTTTTCCTGAGATGCTGATTTACAAAATATAATGTCCTCATATGAGGATGCAGGATCTCAGGAGGTTAATGTCAAAGAAATTCACAAAATAACATGTTTTGATGCAGTAAAACACCCACAGATGTAGCAGAAAACTGCTATTGGTCATAGTTTTAACCCTGAAATCAGGAAATAATGTCATACATGTGATGCATAGGATGAGAATTGAACAAATAGTTGCAATCTGGCTCACATTCAGACAGGAGTCATGTCTTTGTGGCAGTTTTTCTGCTGATTAAGGGATCATACAAGACTTCACCTTACAAATGGCAGTCGAAAGCAAAAACGCTATGAAATGCATCATATTTTGTGACAAAGACTGAAATGCTTGAGCAAAACAGGCTTTATTTTTGGATTCAGCACGCCAGAAGAAACAAATATTGGATTTCATTCAGCAAATATGATGCAGGTCAAACTTGCAATAAAGAGGACAGCACATCTTCATACTCACGTTATTCCGGTTGGAGTGGCAGGTTCATTGGGGAAGATTTCCTTTAAAATATCTCCTCCATCCACAGATGAATCCTCATAGACTGTTGCCGTCTCCTCCACCTGCTGCTGAAAAGAAGAAAACTCAGCTATTACAGAGCACAGCAGATGAGATTGTGCACCATAAATCAGGGCCTGATGAGACTCTATTGTGATAATAACTGTATTTTTTCTATGCTTTTGCAGTCTTTACTTTAGCTCGCTGTCTGCTGCTGGTCCTGGTGGTGACTGGAGTCTTTCCTCGGCTCCGGATCAGCTTAGTCACAACGGGAACCGGCTCTGGTACGGGATCAACTTCTGCCAATCAAATACAGAGCAAAAAGATACTTAACATGACCATTAATATATAACTTAAAGCCATTTTTTAAAATTCTAATTAAACTTTTGGAAGACTAAACTCTTTTTAATCTTAAGCAACTTCAGTTGCCACAAATAAACGTTTACGTTTGATGAAGAAACTATGCTTGTCTGGATGACTCGGATCACATCCAGAGTCAGTCAGAGTCCTCTCCTCAAAAAGACACACCATTTGTGGAAGTCGACAGTTGACTTACTGAAAAAAACTACTAAAGTAATAACAAAGGATGAAAGCAGATATACTTGAAAGTGCGAATGCAAAAAGCTCGACTTGATATCGACTTAAAATCGATCATTGCATCAAAAAGTAGAAATAAAACAACAACACATAAAAGTCGTCTTGGTGAATTATTCCAATAACAATGACATTGCAATTTTTATCATCTGAAACATGCTATCCTATATTCCAAAGCGATCTATATAATGCATTTAAAAATTAGCATGCAAAACATGGGCAAAGTGCAAACAAACACGTGCACACATCAGTTCTAGCATTGCTAACTTGACATTGCACCAATTAATCACAAAACTAAAACGCAGTCAGCCAGACATAGAATTAGTTACACGGCTCAGTTTGAAATAGGGCTGTCAAAATGGCTGAAAAACAAAATTCAAATTTTTTACTTAAATATTAGTGCAGTGGGATGGGAAAAAACCCCACCATAAAGTCTCGAGATATGTTTTTTCAAAGTTAAACTTGCATAATTTTACATGGCTTTCTAAACATGTGGCTCTTTTGTGTTAATTTTACATGGCTTTCTAAACATGCGGCTCTTTTGTGTGAGATTCAAGTGCAACGGTGATAGATGTCCCTCTAGAAAATGCGTTTATTTTTGACAGCCCTAGTTTGAAGCAGTTGGATATTGGGATATTAGGGACACAAGTGAAGAACAACGGCTTGTTTACATTATAAATATTAGTTTAGTAAGCAAATGTAAGGCTGTGACAAAAATATGTAAACATTTGGATTCGTGTCGAATGATAGGTAAGTGAACCTAATGCCAGTTTCACTTTCACTTTAAACCAATTTGGCTTGACATTTAAAATAGCCTTAATGATATTTATAATGAATGCCATATAATGTGTATAAATGTTTCATTTACGGATTTTTACATTATTTCTATGCAATAATAAAAAAACTTGACTCAATGTTGATCAGTTGTGCTTCACCACCTTCTTTGTCGCTGTACTGATCTTCTTCGGCTGAGTGTGTGTTGCCGTTCTGGTTTCCGTCTGCTTTGATGGTGACGGCCTCAGGGATAGTGGTCTCAGGTTCAGGCAGGCTGGTCTCCACCGGCGGCTGCTCCAGGAGCTGCTGGAGCTTCTTCTCGTACAGCTTACGTGTAGAGGCTGTGATGCATACAGAACCAATACAACGCAAACCTTCACAAATCTACAGATGCAGGACATTCCTATTGGGCGATCAATACTCACAAACACAACAAGACTGCCGAAAACGGTTGTACTCACCAACAATTGGTCCTGAATGGACTCCATACTTCAGAAGCTGAAGCTTCAACTCTTCATCAGTCAAACCAGAGACGTCATTCTCTTCTGCCCGAACTCTGTCCGTCTTTCTTGTGGCTTTCTGAAGATCAAGGGAGGATCAAAAGGAAAACGTGTGTACATTTTTTTCTCTCTCCATTTCGACCTACTAAATACATCACAGAAGAGCTTCTGTGTATAGAATGTAAAAGTGTTTACATGTAAAATAACTTTTCAAATCACTCAAGTCAGAATAAATATTAATTATTAGCAATTATATATATATTTATATACACACACACACATACATCTACATATATATATACTGAGTACAGTAAGAAAGTAAAAAACAAAAAAAACAAAAACAAAAAAAATCACTGGTCGATCTGTTTATGATCATAACTTTTTCAGGATAATAATGATAATTATTATTATATTTTAATGTAATAATTCTGATTATTATTGTTTTTATGCTTAAACCCTTTTTCGTCTTTGACCCTTATATATTTAATTATTATTAATAAAATATGTAAAATCCATACTGTTTGAATGGTCCGTCTCAAAAAAGTAGAAATGATCATGATAATTATTATCATCAGAAATTCTCATCATGATAATAATTCTAATTATTATCATATTTCCTGTAATAATTATTAGCGTATATTTAATTAACATTAAAATATTATTATTATTAATATTCTTAATATTAAAAATGTTATGGGGTTTTAAATCTGAATATGACTTTTCGTTACGAAACAGGGCATAACTTTCATACACGTCATCTGTAGAGGACAACACGACAAACATCATGTTAATCAGGCATTTTGGGGAAACGCAACAAGTCAACAGGGAAAGAAATTATAGATAAACATTCCTATGAAATATGATATATTCTTATGAAAAGACAAGTGTAATACTCCCATTATTACACTTCTTTTTTCATTATGGTTTGCCCCAAGAACACATTAATATGCAAATTAGATGCAATGTATAGATACATTGTATAGAATGGGAATACCAATTTATAATAATTATAATTAATAATAAATAATTTATGGACATTTTACACACATATTGCAAAAAGTAAAATAGTATCAAAGCATTTGGTTATCATTTTCATAACATAGTTGAGAATCATCTTTGTACAAAGTTTGGTTAAAAATAGCCTGAAACCTAAAAACTGATTGGTGAATGAAAAAATAAATAAATAAAACATTGTTTTTGCCTATACATGCCTTATCGTGTCAATACTAATTAGTCGTTATTTTACATTTTTTAAATGTGCCACTATCCTAGGTTTTGCCCATTCGTCAGTAAGAACTTTTCTTACTCATTTAAAACACAATCAAATTTAATATGCTCCCTTATTCTTTTATATATCTTAATATGTACAATAAGCATGTTGTTTGAATTTTTACGTAACTATAAGTGTTACACTGAATGACAATGTAACATTATTTCAACCAAATTTTGACATTTTATTCTTCAAAAACTTTTACTTGCATTTAATGTGCTTTCTATGGACATAAAATCACTTTTGAAGCGGACATCTTAACGTCTTTGACCCCTATTTATCTGAATAACTTAGTCCAGGCGTCCTCTACAAAGGTCATAAAATATGAATAAAATATATTTTATTAAAAAAAAAAATTTTTTTTCTCCATTTGTTTCTTATGCTCCGACCAATGCAATGACATAAAAAAAAATCACAAAACTTTTTGTTATGCTTCTCAGGGTTAGGCACAATCAGTGTTAATGAATGCATGTGATTTTCAGGAGCCTCGTCTCGCTCACCTTCCCCGAGCGGCTGCTGTTGGTCACCGGCGGCGCTGTCATCGCCTCCTCGTCGCTGGAGAAAGTGTCCGGAGCGGGAGCAGAGATGTTCTTCTTGTTGAGCGCCGTCAGGTTCTTCAGATAAAGCTGCACATACACGTCTTTCTTGCTGTCGGCGCTGGGCAGAGGGACGTTATTAGCCAGTAACTCGCTCTTCAGCTTCTCTTTAGTGAGCAGCGCCGGATCCTCGTGGAATTGCGCCATTCTTGGGTTTGTATTTACAGAATGAGATATAAAACACGGGTTATTACTTACAAAACGCAAAAGCAGTTATTTTATTTTCATATAAAAGCCAAGCGGTGTGTTTTTGTTGGGACCTGAACGAGAATAAATCAAAATAAAAGCGCGGGACTCTGTTGACAACCGTCAGACCGGCTCGCGCCTTCCGTTTGAATGTCCTCGTAGGATTTTACGACAAATACAGCTATCTGTTACACCCCAAAAAATGTTTTTTGGAAGATTGATGCATCGAAGCTTGTGGTTCAATAAAAGCAGCGTTGCTAAAATGCGTAATTAAACGGTTTTGCGAAGGCGGATAAAAGTAGAAATAGCTCGACGGCTAGGTACGCGCCTGGGAAATGGCACGGTAGATCAAAGCTCAACGCTTATTGGTTGAACGGGTTAAGTAAGGGGTTCGCCTATTGGTCGACGCCGAAGAGTGACCCAAAACAAAGAGGCCGACAGCTGCAACACACACTTGAATTTACAGCAGGATTCTTTACAAGAACCTCTGCGTTATTGTGAAGCATGTGGAAAAATAAATAAAGAAGGAAAACATTATTATGAGTGCAGTTAAACAGAAAAAGGTAGGGATTGTATTTCATAATAAAAGACTACAATGCAAAGTGGGGGAGGGGTATAAGTACCATGGTACATGAATATGGTCATTATGTAGCATTATGGTTTAAAAAAAATCATTGGTCGACAGTGCCGACTTTTGTAATCATGGAGGAACCTCAACCCTGGAAAGCCTATAGGCCTATAAATCACATTTGATACATGTATTTCTAAGGCCTCTAAATTATTAATATGATCAAAACTTTGCTGAAATGTTTTGCTTCTACTTGCCTTCGGAATGATAGATTATACTTTTTTAGGAAGTTAAAGATCTTACTATAACTAAAAACACACACCTACAAGTTGTAGCCTACATGTCTTTTTGTTGTGAATCCGATTTTCATAAAGTAAAAGTAAGAATAACTTTTATATTGTTAGTAATATTTCAAGATGAACACTTACTGGACTGAAGATTATTTTTTTTTTTTTTAGAAAAGTCATAAGAATCAAATCATTGAGAATCAAATGTGACCATCAGACTGGGAAATGTTTATTTGTTCATCTCTCATTCATAAATGTATTGCATTGCATTATGTTTTGTCCCCAACAATAAAAACTACAGAGCGTTGATAGTAGAACTAGGCATTTAAATATCTTACCAAGACATATTATTAGAAGATATAGAGTGACAACTGATATTTATATTCATTTATGTAAGTATGCTGTATTTATAAAGACAAGATATCAGAATTTCATCGTACTAAAAAAAAAGATTTTCATTGTACTTTTTGGCCATATAAATATCATCAACTACACCAGATTGCATATTATTTGCTTAGTTTGTGCCTCTGAACAACACAGGTGTTTTTTCCTCCTCGAGTATGAGCTCCATATTCTCACTATGTTTATATACACTATATGGCCCATAAAGACTGATGAATGAAATAGGATTCAAAACATAAAACACATATGCAAACTTTTTTAGAGTTTCTTTTATATTTTGCCTAAATGTTCAATTAACTATTCCATGTAAAAAAAAAAATCAGACTATTATTTCATATGTCAGATGGGGCAGTTGTGGTCTAATGGTTAGAGAATCGGACTTGTAACCCAAAGGTCACGGGTTCGTGTCTCAGTACCGGCAGGGATTTTAGATGTGGGAGTGAATGACCAATGCTCTCTACCACCCTCAATACCACGACTGAGGTGAGACCCTTGAGCAAAACAACAAACCCCCAACTGCTCAAACTGTGTGTGTGTGTGTTCATTATTCACTGCTCTGTGTGTGTGCACTTGGATGGGTTAAATGCAAAGCACAAATTATGAGTATGGGACACCATACCTGGCTACACGCCACTTTTCAATGCACAGGGTTACATATAAGTGTTTTAAAGGTACATGTCTGTTTGAATATCAATCTATTTATAATTCCAATAATACGTGTTCCCTCAAAATATTGAAATGTTAGACAAAAATGCACATGGTAAGACTAAATCATCGATTGTGGAAGAGTAACTCAATATTAAGCAAGTACAGCATAGCATCCTAAAGATGGCAGCATAAGCCTTATTAGACCAGCGGGCTCTACTCTAGGACAGATGCATAAGGTCAAATGGACTGTATTTAGCAGCAAATCCGGTACAAATCTGTTCTTGTGGTATGACACACATGGGGAAGTACAAAGTATACAGCACAGTAAAGCAAACACAGATGACATGCACATGTGAGGCCACTAATAATATCAGTGAGAATGTACATTTTGATTTTTAGATTAGATGTGCTTAAGATAAGTCAACATGAAATCAATAGCTGAGTGATGGTTTGAAGTTAAAAATGTCTTGATGGATTTGTTTCTTACAAACACGCAGGTTTTGACTTCTCAAGTCATTAACTGATGGACTGGAGTGGTGTGGATTACTTGTGGATTATTGTGATGTTTTTATCAGCTGTTTGGACTCTCATTCTGACGGCACCCATTCACATCCATTGGTGAGCAAGTGACGCAATGCTACATTTCTCCAAATCTGATGAAGAAACAAGCTCATGGATGGTCTGAAGCTGAGTAAATATTCAGCAAATTTTCATTTTGGGGGGAACTATTTCTTTATAATGCAGCCCCTTCAGGAGTTTCCAATCGATCTTTTTTTATTCTTTGTCCAAATATCTCTTGGACTGATCTGGGCTGCGTTCCACTCATCTCAGATTCACAGCCTCCACACGCGTAGTGAACCTGAGCTCGTGTGCGGGTGTGGAAGTAGGTGTTGGTTTTGACCACTGTCTGGTCTTCCAGGATTCCAGCTCAGTGTGGTTTAGGGCACCCTGGATCTCCGTCGCGAGAGCTGGTGATTCGCCCCGCGCTTATGTTTCTGGGATATAGCTTAATTATGGCAACGGTGCCCAAAACCACACAGATTTTAACGCTTAATCTTCAGTTAAAGCTTTCCAAGAGAGGTCTGCCAGTGAAAGAGGGAAACTTTGAAAATGTTGAGCTCTTAAGAAACACCCTTTCTGTCTTTATTGTATTTCATTTATACAGAAAACAGTCCTCCGGCCAAGCACCACATAAAAGTGTCTTTTAAAGCATAACAGTGGTGCCCTCAGGAAAGGGATCTGAGAGAAACTAGGCAATTATCAACATCGGGTGTATAAAAGTGGTTTTGAAAAAGGAATGCCGTGTAAACTGTAGCAGGGTGATGACATGTTCAAACGTATAAACTGTCCAAGTGTGTACGTTTTCCAAATCCAACAATCTTCGAATTATGTTTACTGTACATTTTTGTTTAATGATGGAATATGAGAATGCTTATGCATTGTGAATGTTTAAGTAACAAGTAAGGCAGTCATATTTTAAGATTCGTGCATGTCTGTTTAATGTCAACATGTTATAAGGTTACAGTGATCAAAATATGATTATATTGGAATGCAATTGTCTTATGAACTTTGCATTGGCAGGGGTTCAAGCATGCTGACAACAAGAAATGAATGCTGTAAAATGCAAAAAAAAAAGTTGCAGCATCTACACTACAAACTAAACATCCCTTGTCCAAGTACACACTGAGAGACTGTACGCTGCAGTACTTTTCAACATGCAGTTTAACCCGTCCATCACACAACCACTGTCAGAAATGTAAAACATGAAATTTTCATATGGTTTGTGGTTAGAACCATATTTTAACATTAAAAACACCTTCTCTATTAATTATTTGAGAGGTACTTTCAAAATGTTTGAGATCTAGAAAACGTTCTAATCTTTTCTTTAAGGTGAAGTGTGTGATTTTTCTATGTTAATATGCAGAGACAACTATAAGTAAGCCATTTGAAGGTTGATTTAGCCAAAAAAAAGTGTAAACACTGTGGCTCTGTGGTGCTTTCAAAACATTGCTCTGTTTGCTTGAGCATCTCGACCAGCTCAACACAGCAACACTGACTCAACCAATGCTGAGGTGGGACTATCAGTTTGTTCATTTGCAAAACATGAGCCGTGCGTGACAATTATATACAGACAGTTGCGGTACAATCAGCAATGCTGTGAATATATGAAACACTGTTGCACATCTAACACATATGAAATAACCCTGCATACATAGCATGCATGAAATTACCAAGTAGCAGATCTATACAGGTGGAGCTGGGGAAGGTGAAGGGTTTCTGAAGCACGCTGCAACTGCTACAGCAAGCACTAGCAAAGTATATAGCTCAATGGCTACCGATGCGAAAAGAAACCAATCAGCTGCACCAATGATGTTTTTGTATCAGATTGAGTTAGAACCTATCAGCCTGCGCCATCTAGAGTTTCATGACAGAATTTCGTATTTAAAGACACGTAGATGTTACTCTTGACCAGCGTACAACAAGCAGTGTCTCAAAGGTTTGTATTCATGGCTAATTAGAATCAGGCCCTTGGTGTGGTGCTAGATTGAGAGGCAGCTTTTCACAAGCACTGAATGGATTTGTCCTGGCTTGGAAAAACCTAGTACAATTTATTTCCCCTGTTGACAGTCCAAACTGCGCTTATAGGACACACACCTCGATGTCAACTCTCACTACAAGTGAGACTCCTTTTCCCGAAGCCTGCCAGTCCAGCTCTTTATGAACGGCGTGCCAAACAAGTTCTCCATTTATTTGTTCAATTATTATGTGAATTTTTGCTGTTTTGTTTGGCTGGTGTTGATGGAGGTCAGCTCGTGTCAGTACTGGGTTGTACTCAAAGGCAATATGAACTGTCAGGTGTTTTTATGAGGCCTTGAGTGGGCACAAGGGGCGAAGTCGACACCCACGCCCACCTACTGTGTGCAGGCTGGACGTTTTCCACCGAACCAATCCATGGGGGCCGTCTGGTCAGATGACCATGTATATTGTGACTTCCCCATGTTAGCACAGGAATTCCACCTTGAGGATCCTATTTTCACGGTCCGACACAAAGAACCAGCGGTTTATGCCAAGCACAATTACCCAAGCACCTGAAGAGAAATCCACCTACTGTCCCAATGCACAGGTCTGGCCCACACAGGGAAGTTAACATGAATTGAGTTTGGCTGGGTGTTTCAATACTCCATTATTACCGGAATAATCCTCAACATTACAACTGCTTAGTATAACTGTATTTTATGAAAGCCAATTTCTACACACTTAGGTCCCTTTACACTCTAAAAAATAAGGTTTCTTCACTGCCATTGATGGTTCCATGAAGAACCTTTAACATCCATGGAACCTTTCAAGGTTCTTTATAGTGAAAAAAAGTTCTTTAGATTATTAAAATGTTCTTCACATCAAGAAAACAATGGTTCTTTTAAGAACTGTTC